AAATAATTTCAAATCAAATCAAATATTTGATCTTTCAATTTGAATTTGATTTGATTTGAAAATTGATATTTAAATTTGATTTGAAATCAAATATTTGAATCAAATCAAATCAAATCAAATTAAATGTGAAACCCTAACATTGATCCATTTGATTTCTTTGCAACTTTTATATTGCCAGTATAAAAAATTTAGTGCAAATTTCATTAATCATCATGAAATAGTGATTACAATATGATGCATGTATAGCATGTGGTAGCTCTCTATTAGTTTCATTGAATTTCACAAATTGTGACTCCCTCGCCAAATGCTGCTCTATTATGCTTACTACTTCCATTAAAGAGGTTGTTCTATTAAGTGATTTTTTCAAAATTACGTTGTACATTTCAACTCTTTGAATTGACTGTATACTACAATTAAAAGATTGATGTGTGAAAGAAAGAACCCACACTTCATGATGAGGATAAAGCTGATGCCTTAAATAAGATTGTGCTTTAGAAAATAGATCCATAACCCTTTGTCACTTTTTCGCAAAACTAGTTTCAGTGGGGCTATTGTATGCCTGACAAAAATTTGAAAAAAAATCTCTAAACTTTTCCCTACCAAACTTAGAGAGAAAATGTTTTTCAAGATTTTTTTATATATGAAACAGACAGAAATGGTGCTTAGTGCCATGCCATATATTATTAATTGCACTAGTAATTACCAGATCTGTATCTGTATAAATGACTTTAGGTTCCAATACTCCTTATAAAAAAAAAAATTAAAATAAATTAATAATATTATAAACTACAACAGATATACTAAATAAACAATAAGTTAACAACCTGTCATATTAAGTAGCCTCTGCAAGATCTACTCAAACGTTATTTTTTGCTCGTCCATAACTAAAGCTATAGCAACAAATCACAATCTATTATAATTATCTATGCAAACAACAACACATATTATCATATTAAACCTGTTCGTTTTACAGGTTATGTCAAGTAAAATAATATCATAAAAATAACTCCAAAGGTCAATTTGTTTAGAGTACAACCACATAAGTTCTACAAGATGATTATCATTTCCCTCAAATTTTGCATTGACATACCAACTGGGCACCTCCTGTTTTCTATACATTAGCTCTTTGTAAGTAGCACCTGCATCATTTAATTTTCCCTTCTCTGCTTTGATCATTTGAACAATATTGTAGACACTATATGTATAAATATATTGATTTAGATTTTTGTGTGTTAACACATTAATAATAGCCTAGTACATATACCATTAGCAGCAAGAAGTTCAATGTCATCCTATATTTTAGATATAAGATGATGATATTGAGGTGCAGTCATTTGAATATTATCACTCATTGAATATGAATGCTCACCAATAATACCTGAGATATGTATTTGGTTATCACTTTTCCATCTTTGCAAATTAATATAATACTCACAACCACTATTTTCATATGCTTTATTTTTTTTCTTCAGTATATGTGCCTTTTTCTTCACTTTATAGCAATACCTTTTAGAATAATAATAAACTTGATGTCTTGGCATTCCATCATTTTTGTCTAATTTGCTTTTTGCTAAAAAAAAAGTGAAACCTTATTTACCACTATGTTTGTCAAGCCAACTTTCATTAATTAATACCTTTGTTATATATATATAAAAAAAAAAAAAAAAAGACAGTATCTGACTTTACTACTTACTTTTTAACATCTTTCCAATTAGCGAAACTTTGCCCTTTAGTTAAGAAGTATAGTCCTTTTTCTGAATCAGTTAAATCAAAATCAGTTTTAGTCTCAGATTCTACCAAATTATTGCTTTTCTCAAAACAAAGTTGTCTATAAGAATCCAAAATATCATTAAATATATTTGTCTCAATATTGCTGGTAAAACACAGATCTGTTTCGTTGAATTTGTCTTCATTTCCCATTCTCTCAGATTCTACCAAACTATTACTTTCCTCATAATAAAGTTGTCCATAAGAACTCAGAATATCGTCGAGTATATCCATCTCAATATTGCTAGTAAAACACAGATCTATTTTGTCAAATTTGTCTTCACTTCCCATTCTAAAAACTATATAAAATTGTATATTAATTGAGGTATATAATACAGTTAGATATTTGTATGCAATAAAAATAGTAAGTTAGAGTTAAAATCTAATAAGCTGTACAATCTGTTGTACGTGTATAGATATTAAAGTAAAAGTTGTACGCGTCATATATATGACACATAATTAATAATCTTTTATATAGTTATACCAATAGATAAAAATCACTATAGGTGCATTTTATAATAATTGTTATCTATATACAAAATTATAACTTCGATATCTTACTTATACTATATTTATCTTACAACTATATGATTACTACAATAACTAATCTACTTTTTACAACTTTTTTATATTCTACTACTTTATCAATAGCTATATATACTTATACAAATAACCAATACATATATTATTATATTCAAACAAATTACTTTTTATCTATACTTTATAGATTCTTATAAAGTACTTATACAATCTAGATTAAGCTTACCTAGATTTGTATAAGTATATATAAATCTAGGTAAGTCTTGACTACTCTAGTTGGTTTAGATCACAGATAAATTTTTCTTTGTCTGAATTCTTATTTTTACATGTAATTTTTATTTTATTTGTACTGGTACAAATAGTAATAGCTTTGTAAATTTCTATATATAGTGGTTTAATGGTTTATCTTGACTACAAGTAGAAGCCTTGATGACTGTGTTGTAGTAATCTATACTGTTACTATTAAAAAATTATTACTAATAAAGATATAAGTAAGGCCTCATCTTAAAACCAAAAAAAAAATTAAATAGCTTATTTTCAGATATAAAAGTTTTTATATTTAGTTTGCCAAGTATTTAATTTTTCAGATAATAATTCTTTATATTGTAATATAATCAAATTTTATTGATATTTTTTATATTTTATTTTTTACTTTTTTTTTTTTACTTCAGTGATCCTTTCTTTATTTTTTATATTGACAGTACTTTATAGCAAGATATCTCAGTTAGCTAAACCTATATTATCTATAAGAAATACTTTATACCTGTTACAAATAAAGAATCTCTCTAGATCTATCTCATTATTATAGTAAAAATAAAGTAAACCCCAAATTTACACTAGAGTATGACCCAGGAGCAACTCGTTTAAGTGAACATTTTTCTTCTTTCAGGATTCTTAACTTACTGAGAATATGAACTCTGGATATTAAAAGATAGTTTTTACTAACCTTGTCAAAATCACTGCTCTACAATAGAGTACTGCCAATCTAATGACACTTTCTCATAGAGGAGTAAAAAAGAAAAAAAAGGGTAAGTATAGAGTGAAAAAAAGATAAGTAAAAAAAAAACAAACATACAAAGAAAATGACCAAATTATAAAGAAGTTAAAAGACTATTCTAAAATCTAAGAGAACTTGTCTACAGATATAAAAACCTACTAATCAGGTAAAAAACTATTTACATGGTTATAGAAATTTATATATAGAGCTATTTAACAAAAAACTAAAATATACTTTAGCTTGTGCTAAGGACAAAATTATATGCCTACAACTTCAGAATAATGCATATCTTATATTACTATTTTAGTTGCCAACTCTCATATTAAATCTAACTCAGGTTCTAGAATAACCAATCTTAAAGCCTCGATACATGATTATTGATTTTAATTTTAGTCTCAAAACTTCCTTCTTACATGTATTTGTTGTTTTTTTATTCATCATAATACAACTTGAGACTTTTCAAGAATAGAAGTAGTAAACAATGCTAATTTTTTGCTGATTTTTTGGAGGAGGTAGCCAAATTTCTACTTTTTGACAAAAATTATGAAGAGAAAAGGATAGCAGAAAAAGTATAGTTTTGCAAGTTTTTCAACCAAGGAGTGTTATTCCAAAAGTTCTTTATAGTCTTCTGTTCTTAACATAACTTGAGTCTTCTTTCTACTTACTGTTCTTAGAGATTTCTCTAGTTTAACTGCCAAATACAAAAGGGAGTCCACCTAAGACAAGAAGAAAAAAAAGGCTTGACCCCTTTACAAACTATCCAAAACATCTGCTCCTCGGTGTATCATGTTCAAGATTTCGTCAACAGCAGTTTGTATTAAGAAAACTTCAAGTTATTTGTTCTCTTCTGGTCTTGAGTCTTTAACTTGCTTTCAGAGACTAGTTGGTACAAGTGATCATCAGAAAGAGTTTGATTTTTTATATTTTATTAATTAAATATTGTCGGGAATGATGCTGAAATCGGATGATGCTAAAATTTAGGGGCCTTAATTTGAAAATATAAATCCTACTAAAATCCACCTATA